CCCCCCCCCCCCCCCCCCCCCCCCCCCCCGCACCAACCAAGGTTACACGTGAACGCGTTTCCGAGTGCGAACAATCGGGTTCATGTAGTTGGGGGATGTCTGTAACACAAGGAGAGGAGGTTTTTACGTTGCTGAGCCTTGGGGAAGGTATAAGGAAAATACAGGGAGATGTTCGAGGCATGGGACACCAGCTAGGGGAGAAGACGGTAGCTGTACTGAAACATAGAACGTGGGTTGAAGAGGCGGGAAGTTACATCGATAGGATAGATAGGCTGGAGAGAACATTTTGAGACACCGTTTTCGGTAAAGTAGGAGGGAACGATTGGCCATCGGTGATCGGTCCTGTGGGAACAATGCTCCGTCCTCTCGAGGACGCGTGGTCAATGGTCTGTCCACTAAGACATGCAAAACATTAGAGTACGCCCCCCTCCCTCCGCACCAGTACTATTTGAGACGGAGATTCTACTCCTCGTTGCTGATTTGAATCTGCCGGTGGGTGGACACCCCGTGAGTCACCCCTCACCACCTTCATGAGTTCTTATCTTGCAGCTGCCACTTTTTGGGGGTCTTTTCTTATCCGTAAGCGCTATGTTACACACAAATACGGGAACTGAGCACGTGTTCTTATGGCCAAGTCCATAGGTAGTGAATCTGTCGAGGCTGCATTTGTTAACTACTAAGTTCTTAAGTGCGAACGCCATCTGTAATGCTCCATGTGGAAAAAAACACACTGCCAACACGACGTACATCGCTCAAGTCGTTGACGTGCATATCGACAAATTGGGACTGCATGACTTGGCGACAAATATATGACATATTTGGCCTTACCTACTGGAAGAGGCCAGCTCCTCAAGCATCTCAAGGGCGACATGATAGCTCGGCGGAAGATGCATGGTAACGGTCCTCTTGTCATCGACAGGGTTGTAAATCATGCGATGAAACAGCCCCGGCGTGCTCTTGTCGCAGGGCCACCCTGTTCCCCCACCGAATGCTGGTGCCGAGACGCCTAGGTCAGACTGCGCGCATGTCACAAGGCTGACGCCATTTTCCAACGATAGTCTGTGGGGTTGATGTCCATGTGCTTTCTCCATCCAGGACTTCAGGAATCGGCGACTCTCACGTTCTACGTCATCCGCTACTGTACACCTGGCCCTTACCACGCGGTCCCACTTGTTCCCCACAAGGATCACGTTTGCATCCGGCACACGGAAAGTCAAGTAACGTAGCCAGGGGGCAATGGCAAGGTCTTCAAGGTTCAAGCCATCCATCTCGCTCGCTTTCGCCGCATCCCATACCAACAGGTACACGGCACGAGGGGTGAGAAATAGCTGGAGCAGTCCGTAGTAGACAATCTGTCGACAGTGGTCAACGTGGGGGATCACAGACACGTCGAGGGGTGCGTATGACTGATACATGGTGTCGAAGGAAGTGAATTGGGTAAAAGGGTGCAGGAGCATACGATACGTGCTAGTTCACTGCCGGGGTCCAGGACAGTGCGAAGTCTTTATCGCAATGAAACTGCTACAGCAGTGATCCGACGAAGGATGGACGATGTCGCCCGCCGGCTGCAATGTTTCTGAAAAACGGTGAGGAAAACTAGACAAACCGACCCCGCAATTAGATAATGTACGCTGACGAAAATCAATGGCAGTGCGCCCGCGCGAACTCGAACTTGAAAGCGGGGTAAAACATGTGCTGTAGTCGCACAAAACGTCCATGCGACCAGCTGAAACTCCGGTTGCAAGCAGTTCACGACAAAATGAAACGATCTCGACCTCCAGCCTCGGCCTCGGCCATTGCCACAGAACGGCAAATGAAAAGTACGCCGAACCACCAAGCAACTGTGCTGACTGGGTCAACTCAAGCGTGTACAAGGAACAGCATTTGTCTCACCTGACCGGCACAATCAAATATCCGAATTGGATGACCATCGACTTTGTGGTCTTCGACATCCACGTGGACAGTGCTTTCCAAACCACCGTCTTGTGTCATACACGGCTTCCCGGTCGTGATGCTGCGCCGTAAACTAAGGCAATGCATTGGGTGAATAGCCTAGTCAAACCAACCATTCATGTGATCATGGACTATGCCACTCAAGTTATATCTTTCGCGCCGGAGAAACACGTAGTATCAACTACAACACGCGAGGGGATGTCGACTGGAGGAGAAGAGCAGCACACGACATTGACCCACTAACGCGCCACGTAGATTCCTACTGTAACAGTCGGAGAGATGGCACCGGGTGCCATCGATACATTAAATGTTTTTTCCTCGGGTTTTTTATCGCAGCCCGGTGCCATCTCTCCGACCGGTGCCACCTCTCCGACCGGTGCCACCTCTCCGACCTCGGTGCGGAAATGCAAATTAAATAATTTCGTTTAGATTTCTCAATGCACTCCGGTGCGGTTTCTCTGACCGGTGCGATTCCTGATCAAGTACACACAAGTGTTGTACACACGCACCCCGGTGCCATCTCCCCGACCGGTACATTTGTATTGATGCCAGTGTAGGCATACCCACGCACACACACGGTCTTGTTGAATACACGAGAACCACACGTGAAGGTACCGTTGTTGCTGGTTGGAAGCACACCGGTAACGGCAACATAGGCTGGTACGTAACAGCTTTCCATGCAGCGAGTGGTCTTGTGTTTGAAGACAACAAAAGATGTGGTTTCCATCTGAGGTACCGGTACATACGGTATCAGGTTATCTTCTGTTTTCGTTTCGGTCTTCCTCTACGGATACCAGTACGTACGAAGGAGTACAATAGTTTCGTGTGTAACGTGGGGCAGGGTGCGGCTACGTAAAACGTTGTGTGCTTGGTTGAGTGTACGGCTGGCAACTGCCATACCAATCAAAAAATGAAAACAACTGGCATCACGCGTGAACCGCGACCATGCATACGGGTTGCGGCCCTGATTGCACCTATACACTAGCGTCGCAACTGATTTTCGCAACATCAACAGTAGATTGTTGAGAAGCACCGAAAAAAAATCAAACTGGCGATCCCGCGGGGAGGGCAGGTGCATTGTTTGGACCATACTCCCCTGCAGGATATAGTCCTACCCTACTGACTCAACATTTGTGGAGCGCCGGAACTCCCTCTCACCGTTCAACAAATAAGGCTGTAGAGCACCGTCCGTAAATTATCACCAACGGCTTAGTGTCGGTACTCGTAACCCAGCGGTCAGCGATGTGGGAACAGTGAAGAAAATAGCTCCGCAAAGTCGAGTGAGCACATGTAGAATGAGGAAAATGGACAAAACTTTAAGTGGCCTTCGTACCTTGTCTTGCCAACAGTCTCCTTTCCAACGATGACGACCTTTAGCGGTCGGGTCACAGCGGTAGTTCCGCCCATGAACATGGCCTCGTAGTAGCCCCTCACCACCTGTAGGCCACCCCCCACGATCGCCTCGGGAGGGTGCTCCCACGGGTTTCGGCCAACTTTCCAAGAAGAAAGACCGTCAAGCATGTCGAGAAGGCGGGCTAAATCCACCGGAAGCGTACCTAGAAAACACCATTACGAACGCACAACATGTGGTCGGGCGGGGCGATGCAAAGTCATGCTGCCAACTGCAACGATGGGGTGCATACCACACGACCCGCCGCCTCGATCTCAACCAGGTCACCTACCCTCCGTGTCCACAACTAGGCTCCCAGTTGCGGCGTGCATGTACCGCCTCCCCTAAAACTCACGTCCGAACCTGCTCGGCCCCGACCAACACAACATACTCCGAAATACTGTGTGTAGGCAGGAAGAGATCCTTGGTTCCGTCTCTTCCATTCGGGGAGATATTTGGGTGAAACCACGCGGACGAATAAACACGCTCTAGAGAGCACACAGCGAGCGTGACAGCCTGCAACAGATAGCAGGGGAAGATAGGTGGCCATGCAACATGCCAAGCGCCATCCAAAGCCTCAAACGTACCTCTGATAACCTGGATGCTCTCCGCACGCACTAAGCATACATTAGTATCCTGCATATAGAGCATGCCCAATGTGAGCATACGGCGAACTTTGGCGCAGTCCATTAGTTCAAACTAGGCCTGCCAATTCCGAACTCTGCGACTGCCCCGCAAAGCACACGATGGAGCGGGTGCACCATAGATTGATGTTTTCATCAGTCCCAATGACCATTACCCATGTACATGCCGGCACAATATCACCGTCGAGCAACGAACAACGAATTTAACACACCTCGCCGGGCTGCCATTGAACCAATCTGGTCCTGTCCGAGTGTATGCCATAGTCCTGCATGGAAACGGGGTGTAATCGGTTGATGTTGTAGAACAGAAAAAACGTGACACAGCAAGGACATACAGTCGGGTTGAACCGACAAACCTCAACCATGCACATTCCTCTAGTGACCAATAGAGTGCTAGGGCACCTTGGCAACTGGCAACGACTCTACTTCCATTTCAACAAGCTCAGCTGTGAGCTTCCCTGACAGATCTACACATTGGCTACAGATCGTGTGCATGCTGTAACGCACGAGTAACGAGCTACTCTCAAAAAGAGCGCTGGGAAAACTACCTCGTGTAGAATACGACGGCCCTTTCGGCACAATCCCTACCGGAAAGCTGGTTGTCGGAAATCCAAAGCATACCCAGCTGCCTCAGAGCTCCGAGTTCCTTCGGGATGGTCCCTGCACAAGCAACACAAGAGCTGTCATGCATCAGCAGCTTAGAACTGAACACGTGAGTCGTGAGTATTACTCACACTGTCGACAAGACATATGTTTTAGAAGTCTTGAAAACGCGATCTTCCCATCGTTGTACTTTGCATGTTGCTGTTCTGTTGCTTTGTGAAGGGTAGATACCCAAGGAGCTGGGAGCGCTCACGGGGATGCACGAGCTCGGTGGAAACTTCATCGGCTTACAACTATTGCACGGGTCGTATTTTACTGCATCTCCGAATACTGCTCGTAAAAAACATTTGTCCCGCGTATGCATAGCAGAAGATGTCCCGCGAGTTCCGCAATTGTGAAATTTCGTACTTGCCTACGCGGAATTTCACAATTGCGGAACTCGGGGGAAACCCTTTGCTCGCATGGCGTGGGTGACTAGACGGAGAAACATGTCGTCAATTCTCTGATTTTCTCGTATTGCTCTCCCGCTTGCACATCCTATCCCTCCGGAGCTCGGGAAGCTTGACGGCTTGAAGATCATCGATCTCAGCATCAACGAGTTAGATGGTCAGTCCAGGAGATGAAAACCACTTTATTTACTACTATGTTGAAACAAGGTACATGAAGGCGGGTACGAAATTTCGCAATGTGGGAACTCGCGGGATATCTTTTGCTACGCGTGTGTTCTCGAAAGCCGCGGCATTCAAATTTGTTTTCTCCCGCTACTCTCTTTTCCGATTGCAGGTTCCATGCCGCCAGAGCTTGGAAAGCTCGCCGCACTGGTTGAACTCAACCCCTCGGATAACCAGCTAACCGGTGAGTTTGTTCAGCAGTTCATGCTTGAACTGCTTAACAAACTCACCTTAGCTGGTTCTCCGAGAGGTCGAGGTTCTGCAGTGCAACGAGCTTTCCAAGCTTCGGCGGGATGGAACCTGCAATCGGAAGAGAGAGTAGCGGGAGAAAAACAATTTAAATGCCCCNACCGATCACCGATGGCCAATCGTTCCTTTCTACTTTGCCAAAGGTGGCTCAAAAATGTCTTCCCTAGTCTGTCTATCCGTGTTGTTCGGCCATTGTTGACTTAGAGCGGAAGAGATGACGGTTGGTGTTGTTTCGCAGGGGCGGAAACCGATTCCTGCCCCGTTGCCATGATTGTTATTGGGCGGGAAGAGTCGCCGTTTGGTATCCCATGGTTGGAGGGGGAAAAGAGTTGGGAAGATTCCTGCGGGGGAAATGATTGCTGGAAGGGTCCAATTTCCCGACAGATCAGGGTACACTCCCGAAAACAGGGTATAGTTATTGAGACAAGTAGTCACGGCAGGGTATACCCTGCGCCTTTTCGGACGCACCGGGGTGAAATTGGGCGCTGACCAATGACATGAGTGCATTTACTGCTGTTAATCACTGTGTACCCAGGTGTGTCGCTTTTCGACCAGGGTATACCCTGTTGTGTCGTATTCCCTTATTTGTTTTTGTCCCGCTCAGTCACTTCGTTTCGCACGTCCTCTTGCAGGCCCCATCCCGTCAGACCAGGGGCACCTTTCCGCACTGAAGGAGCTCTACCTTCAGGCCAACCAGCTGAGCGGTGAGTCCACACGAATTTTATAGCGTTTCCCCGACCGCGAGCTCAGTGCACGAATCTCGCCGATGTACGCGGCCACCCATTTAATTTTCGGCCATATACATGAGTGGACGCGTACGCCTACGCGTCCACGAAACTTCAGAACTAGCTGGATAACTTTAATGCCGCCAAGTACATATGCGGCATTCATGCTCAATTTCATGCCTCACCGGATAGCTGGTTGTGCCACAGTCGGAGATTCACCAGCGCTGTTAGCTTGCCCAGCTCCGGCGGGATAGGCCCTGCGAACAGACAAGCAAAACAAATACTCCATTATTTTGGGGGGGGGACTACCAAGACGTTTTTTGTTCGATCTCCGTAGATCTGTGGACGCGTAGGCGTGCGCGGGATTCATGCTTCAAACATGAACTGTTGAACAAACTCACCGGTGAGCTGGTTGTGCGAGAGGTCGAGGAACTGCAGTGCGGCGAGCTCTCCAACCTCCGGCGGGATGGAACCTGCAATCGGAAGAGAGTGTAGCGGGAGAAAACAAATTTAAATGCCCCGGCTTTCGAGAACACACGCGTAGCAAAGATATCCCGCGAGTTCCCAAATTGCGAAATTTCGTACCCGCGTATGCATCCGCGGGATTCATCGACAGCAGATCATAATGAGAAAATCCAACATGAATATNTTCCCTGCTCGTGCTTTGCCCTTTTCCGCTACCTTGGACATGTGTGCATTCCACGAGCAGTCTTTTGCGATCTCTACTCCGAGGTATGTGTACTGCGTTGGCGTCTATATGCGTTGTTACAGAAGTCGAAGGGATTTGAGCTAGAGTTCCAAGTTTTAAAAGTTGACATGGGGAACACCGTACATTGCTGTGCCAAAATTGTGACTCAACGCTGAGCTGGTTTCTCGAAAGGTGGAGCTCCTCTAGTGCCGCAAGGTTCCCCAGCTCGGGTGGAATAGGGGATTAAAAATAAATTTCCCGACTTCTAGAAATACCTACTCACCAACACGAAAGTGGACGCCAAANTCACTTGTTCACGAAATAAGAATCCTGCTGTACGCGTCCATGCGCGTTTCTACTAAAGCCAACAGAAATCGAAATCGTACTTTCGTCATTTCTCACCTGTAAGACGGTTCCAGTGCAGTTCAAGCTGCCTCAGCTTCGTAAGGTCTCCCAACTCCTTCGGTATAGAACCTGCGGGAGCCAGCAGTGCACAGACTTCAAAATTCAGGTTTCAACAGAAACGTGTATGGACGCGGACGCCTACGCGTCCACTCAAGTTGTGGGACCGATATTCTAGAAAGCGGGGGCTTTGTTTTTTTTGTCCCGCTAAGCTTTCCGTTCCCCCCGTCCGCTTGCAGGCCACATCCCGCC